TTCAAAAAAAAAATTGAGGAAAAAGACAAAAGTGAATTTTTGTCAGAATATTTTGCACAGTTTTATGTTAGTTTCCGGGGAAGAGGAAAAAAACAAGGTAAATTTATTGTTAACTTGTAATTTTCGGTGGCCGTCCAATATAGATAGTACCTTATTGTGTAGAAAAAAAGCAATATCATGTTTACCACTATTCCAGAATGTTATAATTTTGTTTTTTCCTCTTTTTTTATGATGATTACATTCATGTTCAGGAATGAATGAAGCGTACCAGTAATTTCCAAAATAAGGTTGCACTAGGGTTGAATGAATCTTAGCACTTCCTAAACTTGGATTATGTAGGTTTGGCGAAAGTTTTTAAGTGTAAAAAAAAACAATTTATCATTCTAAATATTTGTTTAAATGGCAAAAACAGGAAAGGCAGGCGATTAATACAGTCGTAGTTTCTTTTCATAAGTCATAAATTCTGAAATGACTAGTTTCAAATAAATCTTTAATTTTGGTATACAAGTTGCGAGTTTCTAAATTTCCTCTGATCATATAAAGATGACATTTTTATGTAAGTAAAATTTCTATGTATATTTACCATATTTAAAAACACATATCCTTTTTTACCATTTCTTCAAATTTATTGGTTGTAGATGAAAGAATTAAAGTATTGTTTTCTGAGTTTCTTTCTTTCTCCTCACGTGTTAGTTGCATCATTTTTGGTACTTTATCGAAGAGTGATAGAGTTAAAATTTGAATTTATAATTTTCAAGGAAACAGTTTGTATTAGATGTGAGGTTTAGTAAATCAGTCCTTTGCTAAGCACTGAATTTGCTGGCACAACAAAAAACTTGAGCAATGAGTGTGTCGAAGTGATAGCACTAATTATTGCTGTGTAATATCAGTAGTAATCAGTGTATTATCAAAGTAGAGTTATTCTAGTAAAATATTTTTTTATCAATATTTGATTCACTTCTAATGCTTACTTTTTGATATTCATACTGATCCTTAGCGTTAATCATTTTTATTGCCAAAAAATCATTAAGCTCTTTCCAATGTTTTACATCGAATTTCTCTCACTGATTGCTAACCTATATAATAGTGTTCATTTGTAGTTTTTACCTTCAAACTTATTACAAAACATAAATCTGATAAATTTGACGAATGAAGTATGTAAAATTTAACAGAAAATTTAGGGTTGTTTTGTGTGTTGTTTAGAATGGATTTATTTCATAGGTGCATGAATTAGCTTGCTTTTTTCCAAGTCTCGATTGCAGCATTTACACCACAAATCAGAAATCGAGAAGCAATCGAATTTTTTCTGCATAATGTTATAAATAATAAACATGTATATTTGTTAAAATTTAATTAATGCCAGAAAAATAAGATAATGTTTGAAGCGAGTCAGATTTTACTCTGTTGCGTATCTTGTTTTTTACCAGTTGCTTAATTTTTATTTTGGTATCACTTGCATTACATTTGAAAGTAACTTTATAGTAATACTTTTGTATTGTATCCTTTTGATTATTGACTTCTAGTGTCTAATATTGTTTTATATTTAATTAGGTATGTAATTAATATACATGATTCGATTACTCTTCTACTATATAGTATCGTCATGTATCATGTACATTAGTTCATTCTATATAAATAAATTAAGCAGAAATTGTCTGCGAGAAATTTCAGTATATTAAAGTTTACAAGATTATAAAGTGTTACGTTTTATGGATTCATTTTCCTAAGTTGGTATTTATTTTATACTTTGTTTACATGTTTTATTTTGCAAAACATTTGGCACCTGTTTGCTATTGTCAAGTTATAAGTTCTACAAAATGCTCATAAAACAATTAAGGTTACGGATGTCCTTGTTGTACTTAGTAGGCCAAATTAGACTACTATTGCATGTCTGTTAATAACATAGTGTAGTTAAATTTTTGCTAAAGAATTTTCATGTTGTTCGTTGCTTGGAGTTTCTGTTTACACAAATACAACTTGCAATTTACTTATCAAAAATTTTTTTTTGAAAAAAATATGTGTCGAATTTATTTATTTTAAGTCATTTCATTCTTTCCTCTCCGCTTCTCACTTGCCAAGCAAAATTGAGGGGGAAAAATTTTTTTAAACTTTATTTTATTTTACATTTTCATTCGTAAACAAGTAACAGTTTATTTTTGCTCACATCAAGAAATATTATTTGCTAGTTTTTTCTAAATAATAAAAATGTGTAATACATGAATGTTTTTTAGTCAAGCAAACATAGAATGATAGAGCGAGCGAAACGTTTAGTTTTGATTAAATTGTTAATTAGATATTTATCTTCAATTTCCTTCCTTTTCCCGTCACGGAAAACAGAAATAATAATCAAAATCGCATTTCAAAATTGTTCTCGCCACTAAAAGCATCCAAAATTTTTATCGTTGCTTTTTATTTATGCTCTTCATTAAAAATTACTATATTTTTGAAATAATACTTTGGTGTTTGGAACTATTTACGTGGGTATATGTGGGAATAAATTAAAAAGAGTGTTGTGTAGTTTCATGCAAATAAGCGTATCATATATCAAAGTTTTCTTAGATAGATATCACCTCCTCTTTAAAGGTCAGGAGTAATAATGCCAAGTGCAACATCTGAAGAGAATGAAGTTTCGTGATCCGATCAATTTCGTATTGGTAGGAAATAAAGTATTTTAATAATGGATAATGTTGCTTGATGCGTTTTTTCAGTGGAACAAACATGTTCAGTAAATCTTGAAGAAAAAAATTGGAATTTAGCGAGTGAATTATGAATATTAATAATGTTAATAGATGTTTTTGGTGGTTGCTTACTTTATGCATAGTGAAGTAAAATTGAATTGAGGTTATCATTTGTCACAGTGATGTCTGTCTGTCAGCGAGCTGCACACTCTCTTTATCGTTCTAAGTTTCGAGCACACTGAGTATTTGCCATCAGCAATAATTGAATTTAATTTATGTATTAAGCATCATAATAAATATGCAAATGAGGGCTGAATTATTTATCTATAACAGTCGTTGATTAATTTTCCCTTTCAATCAATAAAAATGCGACTGCGCATATTGCTTTCTCTACTCACTATGAAATTTATTATAATAATTTATTAATAAATATAAAGGAGGAATAATTCAGCCTCTCTCTCTACCTAATCATATATCAATAAGTTCTGGAAGCACATACTTATTGTATTCTTTTTATGTGCCTTCTTGGTAAAGAATGCCAGCAATTTTCAATTACATGTTAAATCAAATGTGCCCCGCACCACCACCACGAGCACCGTCGGTGCACTCACTAACCATCACACTTGCAGTTCCTCAGAATTAATTCATTTTTACTTCAGTTTCTTTATTTGCACACATATATTGTTGGATTTATAGTTTGCTTTGAATTTCAAATGTGTACCATGCGTGCGTATATAAATATTTTTACATATATCTTTCTGGAATTTTGTAAATTTCTTTTGCCTGATTTTGACGACGTTATCTGTTATTTATATTCTGTAATTCTTTTATGTGTCAATCATTAATTGCTATACTATTGTATATCAAATATTTGCATGAATATGTAGATTAGCAGCGTTCCAACAATTGATTGGAAAACAACTGATTATGAACTGAAAAAAAATTATGCAAAAAATAGAGCTATTAACTGAAATTCTTTATTGCAAATTCTCATCTCTAATGCTTGTTCGCTTCATAATCACTCTAGTTTTTTTGGCAGTAAATTCGGTATTACCTTCCATTGTTATTATTAACCAATACTTGTTATGATTTTAAGAATTTATATTTTATTTACACCTTTCTGATATAATCTTGATAATTCTTAATTTTATTTTGTTGGTATGATTAATTCCACTGAAATCTGGTGTCCTTGCTGGTGAGAATAATAATTTTGAAATCTGATAAAATGATAATCATCAGTTATTTTTTAGCTTGTATGAAAATGTGGTCATGGGAGCGGGAGCAAGTGCGTACCGTTTATTGTAATAATTATTCATTTTTCATAATTTGTTAAGATCAAATATTTGATATCATACCGTGAATACTGATATCACCAGGTGCATGAATCTGAATCCATTTTGCTTCTCATTCGTGATATACTCTCTTCCGCTTCATTTTTATTGTCAGCTGAAATTTGGAAGAGAAAGAATACAGTGTTCAAAATTTTTTGCTTCGGAATTTCGTTTAAGCAGTGTGTAATGTGTATTAATGATTTAAAGATAGATAAGGCTGGACGAATTTTCATTTCGCTTGCTTCATGATCATAGCAGCGTAAGAATGGTATCTATCGGAATTCATTGTTGTTTACGAATTATTTGTATGACATTCATAATCGTTGTAATGAGTTTTAAATATTTAAAATTTAGGATTAATTGTACGTCGAAAAATGCAATATATATTTGTTTATTCTTGTCAAGTAATCATGTTGCAGAAAGATTTTTTTAGTAATATAAATTTATTTTTTTGACATACAAGTATTCATTTTTGAGCAGAATTTTTGAATTTTTGAGTTGATTTTTCTCTTTCCGTTTTTAAGCTATTTTCTTTTCATTTAGATATGCAAAAAAACAAATGATTTCTTCAAATAATACCTTCTTCTTTTCCAAGTCAACTTTATGCTCCTGAAATAACTCGAAAATTTTTGTGGGACAGAATACTCAATTATTATTTGATGAAAAAGGAAAAGGAAGAATTGAGTAATGGTGAAGCAAATTTTGCTTTTTGCTGATTATGCGTTAATCTTCATTGGTGACATTATTTGACAATATTATAAACTTTGGAAGCTTTATGAATAGATTATTATCATTTTATTTTCAAGCTGCATCATATTAATATTGGTAAATAAGTTTGTGCTACATGTAATTCAAGAAAGTGATATAGCACGATCTTTGTCTCGTTTGTTGATCGGATAATATTGTTTGCAAAAAGCTGCTATATTAAATTTTTCTCGGTAAACAGCTTGAGCAGACCGGTATCAACAATCAAGCTGCATTTTTTATTGATATGGGTGAGGTGAAGAATGGTGATGATAATGGCGATTATGGTACTGATGGTGTTGATGTTGATGGTTATAGTGGGATGACGGTAAATGATGTGTTTGATAATCATGGCAATCATAACACTACAATTGCATCTGTGACTACAGCTAACCAACTGATTGACCAGCAGAATTTATTGTCATTGCAATCATTCATGTTTGTTTCTTAATTTTTTAGTTTTATTTTGCATTCTAGTATTTATAGCATACTCTAATATCTATGCATTTTGAGACTTATTTGAATAAAATCTTGTTGCATTCTTGAAACAGTTTATTATATATTAATTACTACCTAAATTTTTCATTGAAATTTTCATCTTTCTCCTATGGTTATCTTTGTTCAAAGTGTATAACCAAAATCATAATTCACTCAAAATACTTTTCAAAAAAAAAAATACAAGTTGAGAAAAATATGGGCTGAAAAGATACAAATATAATATGCGATATAATTTTATTTTTAGCAATAATGGAAGTAGAAGAATCGATGAAAATGGAGAAGGAAAACGAGTACTTAAAGAATGTTCAGGTGAACAGTCGGATAAAAGAGTCAATCAAGGTCAAGAATTGTTCAAGTTGCAAGTCAACGACTTAACTATTCAAATGACATATCTCTCTCATCAGGTATTAATTACCGTTTAATCTCAGTTTCAGGATATTTTTCAGTAAATATGACTCAGTAATGTAATTGTATTGATTCTACTTTAGTTAAATTAAAATTAAGAAATGAAAGAGAAGTTTTCAATTGTAATTATTTTGTGATTTTGTAATTAAAAATAATGGTAGTCATTCCAGGTCACACTTTTATTGAATGCCCTTCACGTGCCATCTTGCCAGTGTCCCATTTGCAAGCCATATTATCAAACTCAGGTTGAAATGTTTAAACTGTTAAAAAACGGCATAACATCTAATAATTGGCCTGCTAGTAGCAAAGCGATTGAGAATGATGGACCTTCCAATGAAAAACAAGCTGCCGCGTCAGAGGTACTTATAGTGTTCGCAAATGCTCTTTAATGTATTCTATTCTGACTTGTTTTCAGTACTACTTGAGTTCGAAATTTATTTTATTCCAGTAGTCTGTTATAGGTTGTGTATGCGTAACTAAAAGAGAAAAAAGTGGTTTTGAACATATTTTCATTAGCTGTTTATCATTAAATTACAAGCTTAAAAACTAAATTTGCAGTTAGTGTAGACATTTTTTGAATCTTTTTTCAGATTTGCTGCAATTTTCAATTTTTTCACAAATCTACTACTGAGTGTTGTAATTACAGGTGCCAAAAGTGACGCTGCCTACAGCAGGAGGAGTACCTGTCGGAAATATTCAACCGATACCAAATATCGTACCGGCAGTGAATGACTATGAATCACTATTATCACAAATATTTACACAAACTGGAGTTCCGGTCGATGGCGCTCAGGTTGCTGCTGCAGCAGCTACATCCTTACCAGCTGGTGCTCTTGGTATTTCTCCAACACGAGTTGAAACATCACTGCCCAAGCCTTTTGCTGCTAATCGTTCTAATAAAGGTAAAAATACTTTGTTAGTGTTGTTATTAAGAATTAATTACTGATTTCTTTTTCATATTTATTGCATTTAAATGTAATAATAATTTCAACATTTTGTCAAAAAGTAATTGAAGGGTCGAACTTCTCGAAAGCTTTTCTTTTTAGTTCAGAATACAAATTGTACCGGACGGCGATCGAAATATTGCTCACCAGAAGAAAAAAAAGTAGTTGCAGAATATGCAGAAGCGCATGGTCCCAGTGCAGCAGCTCGAAAATTTGGCATACCAACACCAGTTGCTGCTTATTATCATCGAAAAGAATACAGACAAAAGCCACTGCGTGAGTTCAGAAGAAATATTTTAATAGACTTGCACATGCATTTGATTATTTATTGAGTGGTTTCATAATAAAATTAAGTAGTTTTTCAGCAACTGTTCATACAGCTCATCTTTTGTCTCAAACAAATTCATCTGGTTCCACAAATTCGAGTACTGACATTGATAGACCAAGTGTTGACTCACTACCTGGATCACTTTCATCTGTAATAAAATCCTCTAGTCCCAATGATAGTACTTTTGTGAGTAGTTTTTTTGACTCAATTAATTAATGACCTCCTCATATAGACTATATTAGCTTTAATTGTGTATTTCTATAATTTAGCATAAAACCAAATTTTCTAGTGTATATCTTCTTAAGTCGGTTAAGATAGATGCAAAACTCAGAATTCATCTGTAGTGTGCTTTCTTTTTTGTAGACAGGAGAACAGCAACTGAAATTGAATCCTGCACATATCACTGGGAATCCAGGATTTTTGCGCGGACGCGGCCGTGGACGTCCTAAATTAATTGGTGATGAACTTGATGCAGCATTGGTTGACTACATGGTTCAGGTGACTAATAGTATTCGTGTAATAACTAACATTTTTTTTTTGCTTCTTCTGGCTTAGAAAAATTGTGATGCTCTTCTTTATTATAGGTAAAACAAAGCGATCCACGTGGTCATATGACTGCGTCGCAGGCTTTGACAATTGCACGTGCCTATATTTTAGAAAAAGCTCCAGGTCTTTTAGAAGAGCATGGAGGTCAAATAAAACTAAAGCTTACTTGGGCTATGAAATTAGTTGCCAGAATAACTGAGCGACAAAAAGAAATTGAATATGGTCTACCAGCAGGAACAATTTCAAACATGACAAGTTTGAGTGATTTTATTTTTTGTTTGCCTGGCATTTTTGAGGCATTCTGTACAAATTATATTCATTAATGTTTTCACTGTGTAAATTTTAAATTGGTTTTTTAGGAACAACAACGAATGCAAATGTACCTGGAGGAAATTTCATGGCTGATGTAGTTACTCAAAACTTTTTTAGTCAACATATGTCCCAAATAATAAGTCAAGCAATAGCGGAGAACCCTATAAATGAACAAATGAAGCATATTATGTCCCATTCTCTAGTTGGTAATCAGCTGAAACATCGATATTATTAAAATATGATATATTATTTTTTTGAAGTTTATATAACAGTAAAAGTTTAGTTTTCATCAGTTATTTTCGAATCTTTTAAGGTACAACAGCACCATCAGCCACTCCAGAAATAGTGAACATCCGTGAGCTAGAATTACCTAAACCTGATGATGGCGATTTAAAGGGCGAAATTGTAGATGCTATTGTAAATGATAAACACGGATCTATGGAGGCTGCGGGACAAATGTTTGATACGGATATTGAGAATCAAGCGGATATTGTTGAAAATCAGTCAAGTCAGAAAAAATTGATGCAACAGCGTTTCATTTCCTCCAACACATTTTGAAGTATAGGCACCATTTGTATAGTTGCCTTAATGACGCTTTCATAATCAGTGTTATCATGATTCTAAACTGAACAACTTTTATTATGGAATGCTCAATTGTAAATTAGATAAATGAGTACTTTATAATCTTGTTTCAAAGGTTTCAATGATGGAAATTAAGTCAACTATGTTTCGGAAATTATATTACTATCATGGTTTCATTTTTCTTTTGGGATAAAAATAAAAGAAAGAGAAAACAGTAGAATATTACTTCTTACGTTCGTTTTTCATAGAAATTTAGAGAAGAAAAAGTGTTGACTTAATGTCCTCTAAAATTTATTCACAATTTTTTGCCATTTTGCGTTGATGACACGTTTTTGCCAAAATATTGAGCTTGCATTTTGTTTTAAATGTTAAGCTTGAATCTTACAAGTAGTCACTTATACAAATAGTGGTTTTTGTAAGAGTATAACTGTTTAATTTAATAAATAGTTCTTCACATCAAAAAACCATTTGTGCAATGTGCTGCGCATCATTTAGCATTCCTTTTTTTTATTGTTGTTTTCGTTGCATTGTTGCCCTAAAATTACGCATAGTATTTTTCATGGCTTTTCATTTTAATACAGATTTTAGTAAATACATTGGCCATATACTATTCCGTCCTTTTTATTTGGCTTTTCAAAAATCTAATTCATTTCCTCATTCCTTGATTATACTCACAGTCATTTGTTGTGCCAGTTTTATTTTCATTCTTCATTTCCTTTTAAATATCTTGAAAAAGCTCAGCTTTTTATTATTATTCAAGCTACATAGATATACAGTTTAGTTTAGTTTCAGGAATATATCCTTTAGTATAAGGTTTATTAAATTAAATTGTAGAAACTGAAAAATTTAAAGATAAATATATATATAATTTTTGCTTGTTTTCAGACATGCGTTGCTGTTCTCCTAATTTTCATCTCTCTGACTGGAGAGTATTAACTTTTGAAATGTTTTCATTTATGTACGGAATGATAAGGTTTTTCAGGATATTGCAGTGGTGTAATATGTTCGTGTACAGTGATAAATTTTGAAGCAATCGCAACCGTTAAACTTAATTTTTCATCACTTCTTTGTATATCTTCCATATCAAACTCACCAGGCTTGCCACATTTATAATTGTTTTTATTTCAGTGCTTTTGTTCTGCTTTATTTTAATTCGCATCAACTAACTAATGGCTTTACGTTTTCAATGGCATCTCAGTCCATTAATGGTTCCATTTTTATAGAACTTAGTAAGTAAATAATTCGTCTGTAAATATGATATATGTTGCAAAATCACTTCCTTTTTTGCCTAATTTAATCATAATAAGTGCGTGAAGATATGCGTTCTCTTCTAGTAGTTTGTTCGCTTTTCTTCCCTTATTTACGGGATATATTTCTTCAGGAGACATTGTTTTTAGAACTTTCTTTACTCTATCACATTTCCAATCTTTTCCTCAAGTACTGCATATTGAAGAGGACAATGCAAAAATCAGATCTTCCTGCTTGCTAATTCTTAATGTCTCAGTGGTAACAAACTCATTTATACAGTTTTTATTTATGTTTGCTTGTACAAATTGATGAGATTAACTGTATTTCCTTTTCTTACTGTACTCTTTTCTCCTGTTGTTTGCATGTGTTAAGATCTATCTGTCAATTACTTAGGAATTTGGTGTTTCTTGCCTTTTCTCCTTTTTAAATAACCACTTACTATGCCTATTTTTGCTATAATCCTCGTTTGTACTATGTAACTACTCTTTTTGGATTTCATTATTTCTTCAAAATTATTTGATATGTCCTCAACTTTTTACATACAATATATATATCTTCTCGTTCTGCAATCTTTCTATTATTTTTGTTAGAAAGTTTAATTTGGTTATTAACATTCTATAAAGAAAGCATTTATCTCATTTTAGGTATTCTTGATGCAATGAACTTTGCGAAGAATCTGATCTGCAAAATACATTTTCTGATTTCATGATATTAATGTCAAGCGTTGCATCATTGTTGCTGAGTTATTTTCTCCTCACCGATATCATCTTACCGTTATTAATTTCAGATACAGTGGAAAAGTCTTATCTTTCTATGCAAAAGCAGTACAATTTTCAGAGAGCTATTTCAGTGCATTAATTTTCTATGAGTTCATTATATTTTGTAGCGCAAAAATTTGCTTTTACCTGAGAAGTGACTCAGGTAAAAAGATCTCATTTTTCTATTGGTATCGTAGAATTTGGAAAAGATGATGTTGGTCTCTGCAAATACTTCAAGTAACAGCAGCGTGCGGTGTTTCTAACTTTTACTGAAAATGAGACCAAAAAATCTTGTAATGCGTTCAAAAAAGAATATGCTAAGAATCTTACAAATGTATGGTGTTTGGATAGTATTTACATTCTTGATCAAGTGATCAAATTCTTGAACAATATTTTTACTCATAACGGGGAAAAATTCTGAAAACATTGCAATGCTTTCTTTACATTATATTCTGAAGGAATTTTCTCTTTTGATTGGTCAGTGTGCCAAAAAAATGCAAGTTTCCCATACAGTTGCGATTTAGTACAATATATCGGATTGAAAGCATGTTTAAGGGTAAAAATGATTGTGGATATCATTATAGGTTCAAGATGCATTTCTGTTATGACAGTTATGTACTGAGATTGGATTTGTTTTCCCAAAAATTGTGCTCAGGATAAAGATTATACAGTATTTGTTTCTTCATTTACTCCATGAATACAGTGTGCCATAAACCATTAAGTAACTCAAACTTTGTACGTCGGTGGAAAGAGCAGTGGTGAAGTTTTCTCTTTAGTCATCATATCTCTAATAAGTGCAGAATAAATCTGATCTTTTTTGAAAAAAGGTAATGATTAAAAATGGGGAGGGAAGATGGAAAAGCGCAAAATATACAGACGAGAAGTGATAGGATGTGAAAAGTTCGTGAAAAATTTGACGATTTTTTTAACAAGTGATGCATATCAAAATATTACTACAATTACGAAGTTGAGTTTCTATGTTTCAAGTTGGCAAAGTTTAACGAATAATTTATTGCATTCAAAAATCAGATTTTCTTCAGTATTATTTTCAAAGCAGTTTTTGCATTTGATTTACTTTAATATTTCATTTATATTTTCTCTGATGAAAGAAGTTGCTAGTTTTACTGAAAAAGGCAAACTTATGAATTAACTAAAATTTTCACTAAATGTACTTTATTTTTGTAATCAGAATTGTAGTAAGTGCAGCATATTTACTCACGTTTTTATGTGAAAAATGTTCATGAAGTTATTTGCGCATTCACCGTTGTACTCTGCATACTGAACAAATATCCAATATTATAAATTTTTTATAAATTGTTTTTTGAAAACAGTACAAAAATTGATATGATTGCCATAAAGATGGTATGTAATGATATAATAGTAATGACATAAGTGGTAAAAAGGGGTAATTTGAAATAATTTAAATTGAAAATGTTTGGTGGAAAGTATAAGATTGAAAAGCATGCTATAACTTGTTATTTACTTGTATACATGCTCTTATCATCTGTAAAATAATACTTCAGTCTTCATTAACCCATTATTTTGAACTAATTAAAAAAAAGCGTTCATTCTAATAATAATAATATTATTATTAATATTAATATTATTATTATTATTATTACTATTACTATAAACTGAAATAGAAAGAGATGACTGAAAAATGAGAAAATTGGATTTTGAATAATGCTTAATTGAATATTTTCAGCAAAATTTTTGCAGATTTCAGTTAAGTGACTTTCCACATCACAGCAATAAGCACTATTGGAAAAAGATATCAAATAAGCAACAGATTCAAATAATTCAGGAAGGAATTTCTTCATTAACTTTTTGTTTCTTTTCTTTTTTAATAATGCATTTAAAGAGTGTTTATTTTATATTATTATTATAAGATGTTACCAAAATCGTCTAGTTAAACTTTTCACTCTTAGAAGATAATGTTTTTGATGAAAATCTTTTTAGACTAAAGTCAGTTTTTTCACTTAGTACAAGTTCTGTCTTTCCCCTTTCGTGTTTATGCTATCAAAAATTATTCTTCATTAAATTTAATATAGTGAATGATAGAAATACAGATAAATAAAAGATATCAATGATGAAAACTATTTAAAATGATTCTTGCTGAGCATGCAAGATCGTAGAAGGAATCTGTTTCGGAGCGTTTTTCCGCACATCAATTTCAATGAAAAAGAAAGAAATATTAAACATTACTGTATATTTGACATAAAAATTAAGATGAAATGAAGAATAAGAGCTACAATATCGAACACTTTACAAATTTAAGTTGCGTAGCATAAATTTTTAGTTTCATAATAAATGAGCACTGTTTTGCTTTATCTCAAAACCTTTAAATTTCAATTTCCAATGACTGAAAATGCAAAATAATTAGATATACTCACATTATTTCACTAAATATTAAAATATTTATCAATTAAAATTGCTCTAAAAACTGTAAGTTGCGCAGTGGGTATTAAAACATATTTATGCACGATATTAAGATGAATTAAGAAAAATTTTATATGCTATCCATTCAATAAATAGAAAATCGTAGGTCACGAAATCTTTTCAAAGTTCATGCTAATTAACAAAATCTTGTCAGTTTTTGAGTTCTTGTAGATTGTTTAAGTTACGCTAAAATTGCAAATCTTAACATATTACATAAATTCATGCCTAATAATTTGTGAATGACTGAATAAAGAAGATCAGAAAATTTGCTGTTATAATTTGCACCATAGAAAAAAATTAGACAGGTCATTTGCATGCTGCTGTGATCTTTTAGTAAGATATACTAGTGTTTTCTGAAATCTTTCTCCCTTCTGTAAGCTGCAAACTTGTATTTATTCGTTATAATCAGTGAAATTATTATCATTATTACTATTGCTATTATTATTATTGTTATTGTTATTATTATTATTATTATTATTATTAATTTGTCAATTAATTAATTAATTAATTTATTATTATAACATATGAAAT